AACACTCCACAGGCAGAATAGGTGTACTCTTACTGCCTAGGCAGAAAAAGTTTGTTACTATGCAACGTTCCAAGTAATTTGAGTCAAATTGGTAATCAAAATTGACAATGACTTTGGGTGAACGAAAAATGATGGATTATTTGGACTTTGCGTGAAATTGAAAAGAATTTGGAGAAAAAAATAATATGTTTCACATGGCAGAAAAAAAGATTTGATGCCTTGGCTGGTTTTCTAGCCTCGGCTACGCCTTGGCTATGAAACGCCAGTAGCGGCATTAAATCTTGTAATTTTCTGCCTAGTGAAACAAATACCTATTTTCTTACAATGCTCTCTCATAGAGTTTGATCTCAACTTTTTATATTATTTTTTTAGTCACAGTCGTATTATATTTTGGTAGAAATCAAACGAAGTACAAGTGAGTGTAAACATTGTCGCTCGATCGACTGATCGACAAGCTAATTCATAGTTTTATACCGACCCCTTTGACGCAAATTTATTCCAAAATAGTTCTACTAGTGTTTTACTCTATATCAGAGTGTTATCAGCCTTCATCGATTGCCTTCAAGTGAGTTACACAATCCAACCTCAATTGTCTTCACGTGGAGATTGCATAGCATTTGTATCTGCATATTGCCTCTATCTCATACTACTAGTGCCCCACCCAAGTAATCTACTTAAGTTATTCAACCAGATAACTTTTGGAAATGGCAGACACCTGTAATTGTTGTTCAAAAAAAATTGACAGAACCAGGAAAGATGCAGTTTTCTGTACTACTTGTCAGAACAAATTCCATGCTAGCTGCCTCGATGAAGAATCTTTGAAGGAACCTGCAATTAGTTGGAACTGTTCTAATTGCAAGTTGAAGTCGAGCCCTATAACCAAGGCTGACATCTCACTACTATTGAATGAACTGAAAAGTATTAAAATATCCCAAGAGCAGCTCCGCGAGGATATCAACAAAAAGTACGACCTCTTGAAAGTAGAAATCGCTAATTGTAATTCGACACTCGCAACACATGCCAGTTTGATTGCAGAGAACTCCAATTCTATCGCTCAGATCCAAGACAATCAATCCACCTTGCGATCTGAATTCGTTGATTTAGAATCAAAGTTTAATCACACTAAGGACACAGTCGTATCCCTCGCGTCTGCGTCTACATCATCGTCGCTTTCCGGTCAAGAACTAAGCGAGCGCATTTCTCGTTCGAAAAATATTATAGTACATCGCCTTCCAGAAAACGATAGCAGCGGTGACAAAACAGCTGTCGCAGAGATGCTCAAGTTGATGAACATCAATAAAATCCCACTGCATGTTGCACGATTGGGCAAGCAGCATGATCAAAAACATCGTCCACTAAAAGTCACTCTAGACTCTCAAGACACAGCAAAACGTATTCTTCGAAGCAAGAACACTTTGTCAACAAATGAAAATCTCCGAACCATACGCATTAGTGACGACAAGACACCCATGCAAGTCCAAGAGATTGACAACTTGAGAAAAGAACTCCAAAGACGCGTTGATGCTGGAGAGGCTGATCTTACAATTAAATTCTCTCATGGAGCCCCAATCATCACTAAACTTTCAAAAAACTAGTAGCTTCCTCAGTTTCCAACCTTCACTTCGCCTACACTAATATTGCTTCCTTACCAGCAAAATATAATGAATTGGCGCTTTTTTCAGAAATCAACACTCCAGACTGCATCCTTCTTACCGAAACTTGGCTTTCTGAGAAAATTCCTGATTCATTAATAAACTTGAAAGACTACAAAGTCTATAGAGAAGATCGTGTAGACAAAAGAGGAGGTGGGGTACTGATATATCTTAGAACATCGACATTTCGTAACTTCAAAGTGCACCGCTCTCATCACTTGTTATCATCAATTGATAACATCTGGCTATATCTAACTTCGAAAGAGCTCTCATTCACTCTAGGTTGTATCTATAGGCCACCATCGTCAGATAGACTTTCCGATATAAGTCTCAATGAATCCATCGAGCGAGTTTGTCAGTCATCAAAAAATCTGGTTTTATTCGGCGATTTCAATTACCCTTCACTCAAATGGCCCCTATCAGCGATCTCCGATTCAAATGAAAGCAGTACTCTCTTTGCAGAAACAGTCATCAGTTGTGGTCTCTCTCAATTAATAACCACCCCTACCCGACTCAGAGTAAACCAAACACCTTCTTTAATCGACCTTTTACTAACCAATGATACCGATCTAATCTGTAACGTATCTTCGAATTCTCCTATAGGACGCTCCGACCACGTTGTTATTTCTTGTAATCTTCAAACAATTGCAATCAACAAAACTCGCAATATAATCAAGACTATCCCTAGAATAAATCATTCTGATCTCTCAAGGAAACTGAGGCATATCCAATGGGATTCCATCTATAACTGTCCTGATGTTGATGATAAATGGAATATGTTTAGCTCACTACTCCAAAACTTGATACTCTCTTCGACATATTTCGTTAAACAGAAATCAAATGCCGAAAAACCTTGGATCGATAATCATCTCATTCAGCGAGCCCACAGGAAACGAAAAAAGTGGAATAAATACAAAGAAACAGGCAATCCTCACGACTACGATATTCACCGTTCTTTTTCCAATGCACTCTCCGAGGACATCAGGCAAGCTAAACAACGTTATGAATCAAACCTTGTGAAAAAGGGAACGAAAGCAATATCTAAGTACACTCGTAGTCAACTTACATCGAAAGTATCTACGCCAATTATTCGGGATAATGGAATAATCTGCGACTCTAACTTCGGAGCTGCAGAAGCCCTAGCCAAAAAGTTCCAAGAAACGTTCACACCACCATGTCAGCAGCCCCTACCTCCTATCATATCCCCCAGATGCCCAAATTCTCTAGAAATAATACATTTTCCATCCATGTTAGTAGCAAAGAAGCTACAGGATTTGAAACCAACCACATCACCTGGCCCAGACAACATTTCGCCCTATATCCTAAAGAGATATGCTACAGCCCTGTCTCTTCCACTTAGCCACATTTTCGAATATTCCTTTGCGCATTACTCTCTTCCTTCTGCCTGGCTCTCGGCATCTGTAACACCTATTTACAAGAAAGGTGATAAACTAGATCCCAACAATTACAGGCCCATCAGCTTAGTACCTATATGTGCCAAAATTATGGAAAGGATAATTTTAGATCAACTTCTACCATTTCTCATTGAAAATGACACGATACCTCCGGCTCAACATGGATTTCTTCCTGGAAGATCTACAACAACAAATCTACTTTGCTGCCTAGACAATTGGACGAGAGCTCTAGACTCTTCAGCTCCAGTAGACATTATTTATCTGGACTTCTCTAGAGCCTTCGACAAGGTACCCAAGAATAAACTTGTTTTCAAACTCGAACATTTTGGAGTTCGGGGCGCCCTCTTGAAGTGGATAGATGGATTCCTCAGCAATAGGAAGTACAGAGTCAGAGTTGGTTCTTCATTTTCAAATTACTACGATGTCCTATCAGGGGTGCCTCAGGGATCTGTCCTTGGACCGACGTTGTTTCTATTATATGCCTCAGACTTGAAAAATGTCATCTCTTCGGATCATTCATTTTTCGCCGATGACAGTAAATTTTTTGGAAATCCAGCAACCAGTCATGCTCAGCTACAAACCGATCTTGCTTACCTAGAACAATGGTGCTCTGATTGGGACATCCCCTTGAACGACAGCAAATGTTGTGTGCTACATCTTGGTAACAACAATCCATCCCTCTACTACCGTTTATTCAACAATACAGTACCATCCGTGGATGAACAACGTGATCTAGGTATCACCATCAACAAAAAACACTCCTGGTCGAAACATGTAACAGATGTTGTACACAAAGCAAATAGTCGCATCTATCTACTGCGCAAGTGTTTCACCAATCCTAATCCCCAACTATTTGGTCAACTATACAAGTCTTATATACGTCCTCTACTAGAGTATGGTGTTCAAATATGGTCCCCACACCTAGTGAAAGACATCCAACTTTTAGAGAGAACTCAACGTCTTGCCACCCGAATGGTACCCTCACTCAGGCACTTATCTTACGAAGATAGATTAACCCGATTGAAGATTCCATTTCTCAAAGAAAGACGAGCCAGAGGAGATGCTATTCTGACATACCGCATACTGCACGATACATTCTCCATTGACATGCAGCATATTTTTGAGCTGAACACTGACCCCAGGCTGAGAGGCCATAGCATGAAGCTCAAACGCGAAAACTTCAAGTCCACCGTTAGGCAAAACTTTTTCGCCAACAGAGTATTCGGGCTATGGAATTCACTCCCAGAGGCCGTTGTGACAGCTCCAAGCATAAACAGTTTCAAAAATGGTTTCGACGCGTTCCAGTGTTCCAGCTTCTGACTGTACCTACCAACTGTGCTGATGTTCCTCATTGTCTATATTAACAATTTCGATTATTATGTTCATACGATACCACTCACTTGTATTGTTAGGTTAATTTTGTATACTCATGGGCATAATAGGCTTTGCCTCTGCCCTTATTGTCAGTTAATAATAATAATAATAATAATAATGATTTTAAGATACAATATTCCAAATTCATGTGATAACTCATAAAATACGAAATTACAAAAAGCCTTGTATGTTATACCTCTTTACAAAATGAGTTTTTCTATTAAGTGCCAAAAACTGGCTCATTTTGCAACTTGTTGTATAAATTAACCATTGAGAAAGCCAATGTGTGGAATGTTGATGTTCAGTTGAAAATAGTGTGGCAACTACCAACTGTCAAGAATGATATGAAACAAGCTATATTTCGAATCACTATTTTAATGTAAGAAACATTATTACGATGTATAATTTTTTACAGATTTCAAGTGTCTGGATCGGATGCATTTTACAATTACATGAACTATATTATCGGAACAATAACTTATTTGTTCATTTTATAATTATTATAGATTTATAGATTGAAGGGTATTGAAACACTTGTCCATTCTAGTTCTACTTTTTTCCTCAAGTGGGTTTCTAAGATTAAGTAACTTTATAAAAAGTCAAAACACTAACTTCAACACATACAAAAATAACAAGTTCTATGAAAAATAAATAATAAATACAAAAGTCACAATAAAAATCATAATAACACAATATTTTCGAATCAACTATCAACTTATAATAAAAAGTAATTGAATTTGTATTCCTCATCAATTTCCTCAAAAAGGATAATTGTCCACACAAACTCAATTAGAGCTCTACAATTTAATCACATTGATCTGAAATAGTAAAATAATGATGGATGTGATCATAAAAAATCAAATAAAATATATAAAAACAAAAAGGCAGAATATAATTTGCCTTTTGAATGTAAACAATGAATCAAATGCAAAAAAAATCTATTTTTGTGACAGATAAAAGTATGTCCATGAAAAATCAACTTGGACCATAACACATAGGGGAAGACTTATCACCAAATTGAGTTACAAGTTGACGTCACAAATAGTCAATTAATTACTTGACAGGTGTCAAATGTATTCACATTTTTTATGGCAACACCACCTGTCTGATTGAACGTGCGGGGAATACACTTTTCTCTATTTTGAATTGGTGCAGAAATCTTCGCCTTCGAATGGGATATTTTTTTCATCGCTCGAATTTCAAATTAATATTTCTACTTATCAAGGCATAACTGAAACTCAAAAAACGACATGACTAGACAAAACCACGTCACAACTAATAGAAACATTTTTCCAATATGCATTTTTAGTTTTAAATAATTTAAAAATCTAATGTTCTGAATCCATTCAAGAGTTGCTGTCATTTGAAAAACTTGTGTGTGGGAAAACCAATGATACGAAATTAATTTTCCCCTTTTTGAAAAGTTGATGATTCAAACAAATCAGACTATTTTTCATTAATATATCACACACCTATTAACTAAATGCTACATTCTTCAACTTTCACTGATATTATTTAGGAAGTGGGAGCATACATGAAAATTTTTCATTTCATCATATCAACTTTTTTTTATAATGTGAATAGCTAGCTTGTTGGTGTAAATAAATATGATGCGTTCATGTAACATTAGACTAGTTGAAGTTGAATTTGTGCTCAAATCAATAACCTGGAAAGGAATAAGATTATCGATAAGTGATCAATGTTGATGAAACCCAAATTCATTTTATATTCACCCGAGAAAAAATTAGCAATATTCAATATCACATCAAAATATAATTGTTCAGATTCAGAAAGGAATGATCTCATCTGCGTCACTAGGCAATTGTCCCCCACCCTGATTTTCTACAAAGAACCTTCCTGTAACCACAGGTCAATATACATATGTCGGGACATTTTGGGAAGAGGAAGTCTACCATAAAACGTTGGTGAGACGGAATGAATATGTTCATTTCATTTCAACTTTAACTGCTTGATGATAATAATAATAATTGGACTTTATTCAATCACACAATAGTAAGACATAAATACATATATCTCAAAAAACAAGAGAAAAAAAAAAGATGTGACTGAATGGGTGGTGTCACTGTGAAACAGTGTTTTTAAACTTAACCCTGGAAATATAATTAACGTAAAATTATGTGTAAAATATTTGATAAATAATGATGAAATAATATACATTTTATCAAAGGAATTTCAATAAATAAATAGATGATTAAGAATATGGTGTCAGTATATCAGTGTATGAACCTCCATCATAAACCAGAGACATGGCCGCGTAATTGTACATATTTGCCTACATGTTTGATAAAAGGTGATCTTTCAGTTTCTTCTTGAAATTAATGTGGTTAGGAATGACTAATAGGCGCCTGTTACGTGTCTGAAAATAATTTATATTTTCGAACCGTTTCAGTTTATCCTTTAAATAAGAAGGCTTTTTGGTGATTAAAATCTTATGGGTAAATGTTAAAAAGTGCAGTTCACGTATGCCTGGCTAATCGGATCAAACTTACGAATTCCCATAGAAAACCTCATACATGAGTTTTGTATTCTTTGTAAACGCTTCTGATCTGTAATTAGAAGAGCGGGGCCAACTGCAGTCGCAGTATGAGAGTCTAGATATAATCAGTGATTCACATAAGTAAATGTAATTTTAGCTCATTGCTAAGAATATTTCTTTGCGGGTATAAACTTCTCAGAGTATCATAAGATATTTTACTGAGATGATTGACATGTTTTGTATATCTCATATCGCTGTCTAGCCATAACTCTAAATTTTTGCATTCCTCTACAACTGGCAATTCATCACCTGCTATTTGTATATTATTTAGTTGCACGAAGACTAATCGTTTATGTTTGGGACCAAATGCCAAGAGCTTTGATTTGCTGGCGTTCAGTTTTAAGTTGTGTGCGCATGAAACATTATACAAAACAAAAGCGCCAGATCAGCGTTGATATGATCCATAGCAGGGTGAAGGTCTTCTATTTGAAAACTAAGGTACAGCTGTGTGTCGTCCGCATACTGATGTACTTGGCAGAATTTCATAAATTCTTTAGTCTGAAATATAAATAGAGAACAATAGTGGACCAAGAATTGAACCTTGTGGTACACCAAGAGTTCGCGGTTTCACTTCGGAAGTCTGGTTATCAACTACAACATACTGCGATCGATTTCTCAAAGAATTGGCAATTAATTTGACAGACCTAGGTCCAAACCCAAAGCATCTGAGTTTTAGTTCCAGTACAAGGGGGTCCAGAGTGTCAAAGGCCTTGCTGTAATCCAATAAAACTAAACATGTCACTTCGTTCTTATCAGTACTGATCAGTACTGATCAGTATATCATCCGTGATACAGGCTAAAGCAGAAGTTGTACTGTAATGCTGCCGGAACGCGATTTTACTAAATATACTGTAAGCTAACCCATACCACGCCCACCGTTATAATATCTCATCTTCAAAGTACTTTACTTAGGCAAAACTCAGAGACTATTTATCCTTAACGAACTAACCTATTCCTGATTGCAATATTTTTGAGGAAGGAAAACCAGAATGGAGTGTAAAAACACATTGATTAATAATATATTTCAAGAGTTAAGTTCTTCAACAAAATTGAATAAAATGAGACTGTTTATCCTAAACGCACTAACCTATTTGACTTCAAATATTTTCTGAAGAAGGAAAACCAGAATGAAGTAAAAAAACATTGGTGAAAAAAAAATTTGCAAAAAAAGTTCAAGTTCACAGCGATTCGAACCATGGACCTTCAGACTGAGAGTCGACAGCGCTAACCAGTAGACCGTTTGGGTATATAAATTTACTGCATACAAGAGATTGACAGCGAGAGAGCTTCAGTCGAATTCGTGTCAAAATCATAAAAAGTGAATTCTCGCGTTGGAGCACAGTATATTTAGTGCGATGTGCTAACTCCGAGTATATCGGTGATGTTTGGAGATATGACGTATTACGGTGGGCGTGGTTTGTGCTAGCGTGCAGTATATTTAGTAAAATAGCTGCCGGAACCCCGATTGTGAAACAGGAATGATATTTTTTGTAAATACATAGTCAGAAATTTGTTTTTTTATCACCATTTCCAAGATGTTCGAAAGCATGGGAAGAATACTGATGGACCTCAAGTCAGAGTATGACGAGGAATTTAGCAACTTTGGGCAAGGGAAGCACCATGGCACATTTCCACGCCACCGGAAACAAACCTGACATCAAGGCTACATTAATTATATGGGTTGAATACTCAACCAAATGAAAACTCACGAGAACGAACATTCTTTTCGATATATTGTCGCATCCCACAGCCTGAGATTTGATGGAATTTATACAGTCTACAACTTCTTCATCTGTAGTAGATGAGAATTCAAAAGTTTCGCCATGCGGAATGGTGGCGTATTTATCCAACAATCGATATTGATCCTCAGTCTTATCAATGTTAGGTAGGCTGACGAAATGAGAATTTATATCGTGAGCTTTTCTCAATTCAGGCGGTATTGATGGTGATAAGAGTGAGTGACAGTTCTCCGACCAGCCCTAATTACACTAAGATGATGTCTTTGAGAATACAGGTGGCGTGGCAAGATTACTGTAGTGCAGGCATGTCCGTACTCAATTCTTGTGATCTGGGTATAGTAGAATCAATAGAATTTGTTAAGATGAGTAAATAGGTAATAAGAAGTATAGGATTATTAAACTACAATAACTGTATTCACAATGACACTATATTAAACTTAAGGCTATTGAAATTATGCTGTCCACATATTATAATCCCTTACATCACGCACATTATAAATTTTTGCTTAAGTCATAATATCTTTCCTGAACTTTGGAAAAGAGCCGTTGTTAAAGTGTTGCCTAAAAAGTCAAATCCACTTGAGTTCAAAGATTTGCGCCCAATTAGTATAATGCCAACTTTATCTAAGGTACTCGAAAGGGCTATAGAAGTACAGTTAAAAAAACATATTGATCAGTATTCACTTTTACCTATAACGCAATCTGGATTCCGAAAAAATTATAGTTGTACAACGGCTCTTCTCCATATTATTGATGATGTTCGAGCTTCAGACAAAGGTGAGTGTACTGTTCTGGTCCTCCTTGATTTTAGTAGAGCTTTCGATACCATTAACCATAAGTTGATGTAAGAAATTCTCCATTACATAAGACTTTCGAATAATGCTAGAAATCTCTTAGCATATTACCTTTGTGATCGTAAACAAATGGTTGTAGTCGATGGACATTCCTCCAGTTATATGGGTTTAAAGTGTGGAGTACCCCAAGGTTCAATTTTGGGGCCATCGCTCTTTGCAATATATACTTCCTGTCTAGTAAAAAATATACAAATTTGTAATGTACACCTGTATGCGGATGATACTCAACTTTATCATAGTTTTCACCCCAGTGCGGTAGTAGAGTCATGTGACCATATCAATGAGGATCTTAATAGTTTCATTAAAGCCGCAGAGGATCACTGCCAAAGCATTAATTGTAGTAAATCTAATGTAATACTTTTCGGCAATAAGAACAAACGAGATGAGATTTCTGATAGTGTGCGTATTGTAATAAAGAATGAAGTTCTTCAAAACGTAAGTGAAGCCAAAAGTTTAGGTATGATATTGGATTCTGATCTTAAGTTCGAAAAATACATAAATGTACTTCAAATCTGTGTGAGTATTTGATACTATCCATATTTAATTATGCAGATGTACTGTATGGGCCATTTTTATCCAGCCTATATCAGAGAAAAATACAGAAAGTGCAGAATTCTTGCTTACGACTTATATTTGATATCCGCAGGAGAGAACATATCTCACACAAATTGAATGATATTGGTTGGCTAAATATGACCAACAGAAGGATGATACATGCTGCTGTACTTTTTCAAAAAATAATTTTCAATAAAAAACCCTCATATTTGCACAGAAAAATTACCTATCGATCCGATATACATAACCTAAATATCCGATATAAAGGAACCCTCTCGCCGCCATCTTTCAAACTAGAAATCTTTAGGCGCAGTTTCACCTATCAAATATGTTTAATTTATAATCAGGTCCCCACCCCCCACCATGTTTAAAACTTATAGTATACAAAGATTCAAGAAGGCATACAAGAAACATTTGTTTTCAAGGCAATCCTAAAATATCCGTGCGATAAAAATCATTATTATTAATGTATATGAATTGTTCATGTTTTTTTTTCCATTATTTTGTTCTGTTTAAGCTATAACTACACCTAGCGATATATTGAAGGTTAAGTGGAAGAACAGTTTGTAAGCTGATTTTAAATCATTTTACAAGCTGAACTTCGCCTTTTGCTTTCATGTCAACCTCATATTATATGTATTTTTTTGTATTTACATATGGAAGCAATAAAGACGTTTATTATTATTATATAATATCTTTATCAGGTACAGTAGTCAATTTCTCATTGGTCTGATACGGATGATATGATGAATCTTCATTTATATTAATTATAATGGGTAATATTTGGTAATATCAGGCCAATTTGCAGTCCCTCTCTGTTGATCTACCTGTTAATCTACCTGTTTTTGAAAAGTAGTACCTCTAATCGGCCATCTTTCTCTGGTATAATCAATTCCTCCATTACGTTAATCATAGTTCAAGTAGGGGACGTACCTGGGAGTATCTTAGGTATATTTCAATCGTTTGGACGTATATGTTGTGTTTCCCCAACGTTTTATGGCGGATTTCGTCTTCCGAAAACGTCCCGACAATAATTGAGAACAAAATTAATTAATAAAAAATATTGACGTAACATTTACTTCAATAGTAGATATGATACATAAAATACCCCTGTATAAGGAAGCAAATGAAAAATTTTCCTAAAATATGAAAATTGGCGCCTTTAGCAATTTGACAATGTGGACGAAATTACGCATAACCAATTATTTACAATAGACTGATGAGTAATTTATTTTCTGTTATGAGTGATAGTTGTTGATTCGGATGAGATGAAGAAATTTGAGTGAATCAGGGAATATCTGAATTGGAAAAATGAATCAATATCCCCTGCTCAATAAAATTCATCATCATCACCTCATACCTCATTGATATTTTCATTTAATAAAACTATGAGAAAAAAATCCGAAAAGTCTGGAGGAGAACATCCACCTGCTCAGTTAACCAATAGACAGTATTGAAAATACTTTTCACTTGTTTATCTTTTTTTCTTATTTCATCATATAATTTTATATCAATTACAACAAACTAAAAACATGAAACTGAATAATTCATAATTTATTAATTTGGTGCAGTTATCATTCTGGAAGAAATCTAATTTTCAATGGGCCAATGGACTGATAATGAATTAATTACTCCACTGTGTCATTAAGGACCTATATCAATTTTTGCAACACTTCTGACGCTCTTTCTATGTAAATAATGAGTCTATGCGTTGTTCAAAATTGTTGAATTTCAGATCTCATTTCAAACGTATCGTCATGGGCGCCATTTGGCGATACGTCGAATAAATGGTGACGTCAGCTTTTATGCTGTTTCGTTATTGGTCAGTTAATCTTCTATTCCCACTCATGAAACAAGGTTTTTATGTCACCAATTATGATAAAATTATCAAAAAGATCATTGAGTCATGATTTTCTCGAGCAACCAGCATGTCCAAATATTTCTTGAAACAAAATATCATGTAAATGTTGAAGACTTGGCAACAGTGTGCGGAATGTTAATAGCTGACAAGGCACCGCCCACAATTCATGCGCCGTGTTGTTACGCTCACCGGTTCAAATATCCTCTTTATTGATAATTAGGAATATTACCAATAGATAATTGGGAATTTATGAATTATTGAATAACTGATATTTCTCATGTTCCCAGTCGTATTTCGACATACGGCAACTGTGCTATGGTCTGCCCCTACTTACGAAATCGTGACGTCAGCTTTTATCGCGGTAAATTTCTAGCCGTTTGAAAATTACCGTGGCATTATTGATGATTTTAGCACTTTAAAATCGACCGAAAAATTCTAAAACAATTTGAAATTGAAACGTATTCGGGTGATGATTCTATTTAAGAAATAAAACATTAGTACACTTGCCTATTGCAAGGAATTTGACCTTGAATAAAAAAAAAATTCGTACGAACATTTGTCTGAGTGTTTGACCCCCCTGGTATTCACAAGTCCTAAATTTTTATTGTTGACCCTAGAAAGGTGAATCTTTAAGTTAACTCACCGTTTGGTTCGTTATTAACAGCCGGGCTGAGTTGAGAGCCAGATGGAGCTCTAGAATGTGAAGTTTCATACTCCATAACTTCCTGATAGATCAGTTCTTTCCACTGATCCACTGTATGTTCTCTTTCGTCTACGCTATGATCGTAAGGACCAGGAGCAGGCTAGAAAAGAATAGGTAACGTTGGGAAAAAAACTTATTTTACCTACGGCCACTATAGAAAGTAGGCAAGAACACACGAGATACAGCCTCAGTAAGTAGCTCTTTACGCACAGTAAGCACATCGCACAGTTTTTATTCCGCCAGTATAGGTATGTCATGATCGCGTAATCGCCGTCAACAGCGGATAACATAACTGTCATGAATTGTAATTCAGACGGTTTGTCCAAAATTATTTGATATACTATATGGCAGTAGGTAAATCATCTGATTTGTCCCACTACAAATATATTGAAATAATACGCATATTCTTATTTTATAGAAACGAGGAGAGGAAATCCCAAAAAATCAAGTAAAATGACAGTATAGTTCATTATACAAATGGTTTGATAAAGAGTAAGGCACTGCACAGCAGAACAAGTTTCCTAGGTTCGATAGGCAGTTGACTTTTTTATTAAAATAAAAACTGGGATTTTTCATAAGAACCTATCCGCTAAGTCTCAGATACTCACAGCGTTCACCTCTTGCTCGTCGTACCACACGTTGATATAAGGATGCAGCAGCGCATCGTCCACCGATATCCTGCTCTGCGGATCGATAACCAGCATCTTGGACAGCAAATCTCTCGCCTGGCACGCCTTCAGCTTGTTGTGGTCGCTGCTGTCGGAGGGAAAGAGCACGTCGGGGAACAGTTTGTCGAAATTGAAGCCAGGAAAGCGGGGGCGGTTCTCCACGTAGTTGCGCACTGTGGGCTGTAGACGGACCATGAACTGCTGCGATGGAGTGCCCAGTTGTTCTGGAACGAAAAAGGTCCAGCCTCAGACTAAATAACAATATATAGACACCATTGTTCTCATGAATCTTTGGAAAGTATAAAGCAACAATCGTAAACGCCAAACATGGATGAATGAACGAAAAAGCGAATGGTGGGGATAATTCTGCGGAATCATAGACAGCAAAGCTCTCACGTCGAGAAAAATCTTGTCGAAATTGAAGCCAGGAGAGTGGGGCCGCTTCTCCACGTAGTTGCGCACTGTGGGCTGTAGACGGACCATGACCTGCTGCGACGGAGTGCCCAGTTGTTCTGGAACGAGAAAAGTCCAGCCTCAGACGAAATAACAATATATATAGACACCGTTGTCCTCATGAATCTTTGAAAAGTATAAACTAACAATCGTAAACGCCAAACATGGATTAATGAACGAAATCGCGAATGGTGGGGATAGATCTGCGGGATCATAGACAGCAAAGCTCTCACTTCGAGAGAAAGCTTGTCGAAATTGAAGCCAGGGAAGCAGGGACGGTTCTCCACGTAGTTGCGCACTGTGGGCTGTAGACGGACCATGAACTGCTGCGACGGAGTGCCCAGTTGTTCTAGAACGGAAAAGGTCCAGCCTCAGACTAAATAACAATATATAGACACCGCTGTTCTCTTGAATCAATTAAAAGTATAAACCAACAATCGAAAACGCCAAACATGGATGAATGAACGAAAAAGCGAATGGTGGGGATAATTCTGCGGAATCATAGACAGCAAAGCTCTCACGTCGAGAAAAATCTTGTCGAAATTGAAGCCAGGAGAGTGGGGCCGCTTCTCCACGTAGTTGCGCACTGTGGGCCCTAGACGGACCATGACCTGCTGCGACGGAGTGCCCAGTTGTTTTGGAACGAGCAAAGTCCAGCCTCAGACAAAATAACAATATATAGACACCGCTGTTCTCTTAAATCTTTGAAAAGTATAAACTAACAATCGTAAACGCCAAACATGGATTAATGAACAAAATCGCGAATGGTGGGGACAACTCTGCGGAATCATAGACAGCAAATCTCTCACATCAAGAAAGAGCTTGTCGAAATTGAAGCCAGGTGGAGTGACCAGTTGTTCTGGAACGAGGAGAGTCCAGCCTCAAACTCAATTACAATATATAGATACCGCTATGCACTCATAAATCATCAAAAAATATACGCCAAATGGTGAGATTGGTGGTGATAACTCTGCGGAATTGAAGCCAGGGAGATTCTCCACGTAGTTGCGCACTGTGGGCTGCAGACAGACCATGAATTGCGCGACGGATATTCCATATCAATTTTACACTTCAACTCCTACCAAAGAATCAATTGAATATGAAAGTCAACATTGAAATTATTAAAAATTACTAAAACACTAGGAGAAAAGTGAAGAAACTGTTGGTTAAGATGGGTTTATAATAATCATTCAGTTAGTAATGTGCATTTTACACTATTTGACATCATGTGTGTCTTATATTTTCCCTTTGCATGCTTCAATGGGGTTCTTCCTATTCCGAAAAATGATTTATAAATTGATGAAACAGTAGAAGAACTCATTATCCATATTGATGACATCAAGTATGTAATATGTTCCTTAAATCGCTTACCTATTATTTCACATGTCTGCCCAACATACCCCATATTCATTTCTATTTTACTTACCAATTATTTTATTCCACTGGTCGATATGATCGGTGCCAGGAAAGAGTACCCCCCCGCGGATCATCTCGCCCATGATGCAGCCGACGCTCCAGATGTCGACGTTCTCCGTGATATTGATAACATGTGAAGTATGCAATATGTTCCCTAACTCGGTTACCTATCCTGTTTGTCCCACATATATCATACTTATTCCTAGCGGGTGCTTACCCATAATCTTATATCACTAGTCTATATTCTCCTATTGCATACTTACACTTCAACTCCTACCAGAGAATCAATTAGATATGAAAGTGAACATTGAAATTACTAAAAATTACTAAAACACTAGGAGAAAAGTGAAGAAACTGTTGGTATAGATGAGTTTATAATAATCATTCAGTTAGTAATGTGCGTTTTACACCCTTCGACATCATGTGTGTCTCATATATAATATGTCGATGAACAAAAAAACAGTAGAACTCATTACCCATATTGAAAACATCAAGTATGCAATATGTTCCTTGAATCGCTTACCTATTATTCCACATGTCTGCCCAACATACCCCATATTTATTTCGATTTTACTGACCAATCATTTTATTCCACTGGTCGATATGATCGGTGCCAGGAAACAGCACCCCCCTGCGGATCATCTCGCCCATGATACAACCGACGCTCCAGATGTCGACGTTCTCCGTGATATTGATAACATATTGTGAAGTATGCATTATGTTCCCTAACTCAGTTACCTGTTATCTCACCTGTTTGTCTCACATATACCATATTTATTCCAAGCCGGTGCTTACCCATAATCTTATTCCACTAGTCTGTATTCTCCTATTGCTTACTTCCACTTCAACTCCTACCAGAGAATCAATTAAATATGAAAGTGGACATTGAAATTATTCGAAATTACTAAAACACTACGAGAAAAGTGGAGAAACTGTTGGTACAGATGGGTTTATAATAATCATTCAGTTAATAATGTGCGTTTAACACTATTTGACATCATGTGTGTCTCATATGATATGTCAATGAACAAAAAAAAATTAGAAGAACTCATAACCCATAGTGATAACATCAAGTATGTAATATGTTCCTTAAATCGCTTACCTATTATTTCACATGTCTGCCCAACATACCCCATATTCATTTCTATTTTACATTGAAAACATTGAAATCATTAAAAATTACAAAAACTTCAAGAGAAAAGTGAAGAAATTGTTGATACAGATAGGTTCATAATAATCATTCAGTTAGTTATGTGTATTTTTATTTGACATCATGTGTGTCTCATATTTTTCCTTTGAATGCTTCGTCAATGAGATTCTTCCTATTCTGAATTATGATTCATGATTTAATTGATTGTAAACAGTAGAAAAACTCATTATTACCCATATTGATAACATTGGGTGTGCCATGTGTTCCTTAAATCGCTTACCTATTATTTCACATGTCTGCCCAACATACCCCATATTCATTTCTATTTTACTCACCAATTATCTTATTCCACTGGTCGATATGATCGGTGCCAGGAAAGAGTACCCCTCCGCGGATCATCTCGCCCATGATGCAGCCGACGCTCCAGATGTCGACGTTCTCCGTGTAGCCCATGCCCAGAATGACCTCGGGGGCGCGGTAGTACCGCGTCACGACGTACGGCGTCATCATGAAGGTGGTACCGGCCGTTCTGGCCAGCCCGAAATCGAGGATCTTCAATGTGCAGTCCGACTTCACCACGATATTGCTGGGTTTCAGATCCTGAAAAAAAATACTTGGTTTACGGAAAAATCGGGGATTTCAATAATTTTTTATAAGACGTAGGGAGCTCACAGCAAGAAACGGTTTGCGGTGGTGAGCTAGTTTGGGTGAGTTCTATCGAATTATGAAATAATTTTTTTTTGTGATATAAGCCCATTCCCGGCCGAAGTGTTTGCAATACTGACTTGCGTCCAAGAAAATTTCGGCAGAAGTGCACGTGGACCAATTAAAATATGCTCGGACAGCAAAGCTGCTCTTATGGTATTGAGATTCAATAGATCACAACTAAATTGGTGTCCAGTGTAGAAGTGCCTTGGAAAATATGGCAAAAACTAGGAAGTCAGACTAGGTAAGATCGGTTCAGGAACAACACCCATTGGCCCCGAACCCATACTAGGAATACACAATAGCATGGCAATGTCCTTCATATAGGGAATGCTACAGAGGCAGTTCCTTGAAACATGGTGGGACACACCAGGAACGAGATAATCAATGCTCCATACAAAGGAACCTCCAAAAAGGCTCGAGAGAGGTCCGATCACTTAACAGAAGATATCTCAAGATGGTAGTTGGGCTCCTAACAGGGCACAAACAGGCACCTGGAGCTCATAGGGATCAAAGATGATCTCATCTGCAGATGGTGCTTGGAAGATGATGAAACATCATAGCACATACTTGCTGAATGTCCTGCGCTGGTGCATCAGAGGAAAGCTGTCTTTGGGAGCCTTGTATTGCACTCAACGGTTGAGAAAGTGATTCAGCTGAGGAAGCTGCTGAATTTTGTCAAAGAAATCGGCATGCCCAGCTGATTCACAGGCCATGTGCAGAGAAGAAGAAGAAATATACTTGTTTATGAGCGATCAACAGAAAAGCTTCTGATGCTGTCAAATCTCTGTCTGGATACAAACATTTTAGAATCATATTGACTGCCTGCTTTAATCTTAACTGGATAATATTTCCATCAAACAGGTTATAGGTATGTATGATAAGCTTCATTAATTCACACCAAAGGAGATTTGGTGTGAAACGTGGCTACATTGCTTCACATCTTGTATTTGGTAGTCTGACAGAACAGAGCACAGTTGCCCAGTCACCAACGGATAGTCAAATGTAAAAACTCCACCATTGTCGATCTAAATGAAAACCTAGTAGGCGACCAAGTGCGAGGAGGTATAATATTATCTGTTCATTCAATCAAAATATGTCTGTCTGTCAAGTGGCGCTGGGGATGAGAAAATGGAAAGAGCTCATTTGTTTATGTCAAAATAGACCATATTAGGTTGATATTCTCTTCTTCTATTTTTTCCAATATGTACTCAACCACAGATGTGCTTTCCATCATTGACGTGATATTTGATACAAAGGCGATGAAAAAAATTCTTTCCTGAGATTGAGATGTCATAATCAAAAAATTATTTTCTGACAGTTGTCATTAACTTATAACTTCGTCTTTGTGAATATGTTATACTTTGAATTCGTATTCTTGAAAATTACAATTATTCCTAATTATTTTATTCTAGTATTGGTTTTCTATTGCAGTTTGTTGATTGGTTTGTGAGTGCGATTGTGTTATCTTGCAATATTACTGAAAACTTCGCACTCCAGGAGGTGGAGGTGTAAAATTATCAAGACCTGGTTTCCCCTATCCTCACTGTTGTGAATTTGAGCCACAAATCCTGGGGCATCAATGAGTTTATGCCATATTCATTGGATTGCAAGGTGAAATTTACAAGTATAGTGATTCCGATGTGTACATAGTTTACATCACTAAAGACATGTTTTCACTGCAAATAACGGAATTCCATGAATTATATAGTAACTTATCAAATATATAGAAGGAAATAAGCAGCCCCTACCTTTCTGCTTGGCTTGCATGTCGAAAAAGTGTGAAAGCACTGATGAGTTTCCGAAGTTTCCACAGTTCCAACTTAAATTCAAGTTGCATCATAAGTCAACCTGATACAGCATTGCCTAAACATCTCCCTGCTTCTATTCAAGTATAGGTAGATGGTTTTCATACTTGATAATATCTTTCGTGATAATGTTTCATTTTCGGGTTTCAACATGACAGATTTTTATTTACAAACTTGACAGGACCATGAAAAATGTTATGGGTTAGGAATAAAATATATGAATAACTTAGTTTACTTAGTTCACGTAGATGTCTCTGAACTACATATTTTCTTCAATTGTCTTTTCAATGAACAGACAATATTATAACTCCTGCCTACTAACTACCTAACTAGGTTGTCATCTAGAACAACAATGACTCCACAAACTATAAGATTTCCACAAAATTCTCAAACACAGTAGCTTCGTCAGGTGTGTTACGGCCGAGTCAATTAAAAAAAAACGGATAGTCAACTGGAAGTTTGGTCACATAGGACGTGGTTAGGTACCCCGAAAATTAGGTACTCAAAAATGCAATGATAGATGCTATGATATTTTTTCCATGGGATGAAAATGTACAGTCAATTCAATAGGCAAGAACACTAACATGACGTTAACCACAAAAAGATAATGTGAAAAATTTAGTACAAAATTTTAGCCTATTGCAGATATGGAGAATAATTTGAGGAAAACTCACTCTATGGATGATTCCAGCAGAATGTAAGTGCTTGATCCCACAAAGCATTTGGTACAGAAGATAGCTCATTCTTTCGTGATCCAAATCCATCTGAATGACTTGGCAAAGGTTCGCGTCCATCAATTCCATAACTAAGTAGACATCTTGGAATTCTTCCAAAGTCCTTTGTGGTGTAAAGGCATTCAGAAGACCAATTATCTGAAGACAATAAGATAATATTGTTCATGTCACACAAACAAAGAACGGATTCAATCGTTACCCCCGATACTAACAAGGCCTGCAGGCTCCGTGGTGACGTCACCTTAGTGAGGCCTAACAGCGGCTCGAAACGACAAGCGCTTATGGCGCTATAAGGCGACCGCGTATTTCAATTTTAGTTTTAGATCATTATTGAGCCGATTTTGCTGTTTTTTTGAAAGGCTTCCGGTTAAAAGTGGATGCAGTCGTCAACTGCGCCTTCTTCGCATCCCATTCGATTTTATTATGGAAAGATGAAGTTTCAAAGCAAAAACCAGAATAAAACACGAATACCCACCTACAGCAACCCATTCGAATTGAATATATTGACAAAAATTGTAGTGATTTAATCGCATCAGAGATAAACTTCACACCTACCTATACAGGGCCCGCAGAACGAAAATTGGGGAAAATGTATTTTATTTTGATAGACATGCCGTTTGTTATAATTACCTATATTTCTATATATTAGAGAAATCCTATTACCTAGTGTTTTCAATTTCCTGTTGTTGGATTTTTTGGAACAGTAATTTTTAAGTAGAGTGTTTGTAGTACATGTTAATATGATAGTTGCAATTCGATCATTGGAATGAATTCTGCATTCATTACCACGAGGCAAATGACCGTTTTCAGAAAGAAATTTGAGAATGTATTGAGTTAAAAATGCCTTTTTATTATGAACATTCAAGAATATTTCCTCGAATTCAGAGATGATTTTGTTGAATATAATATACGAATACAAAACTAACTGCACAATCAAATTACTATGAAATCATTTGCTCAGAGAGGAACAATAAAGCTGAAGTGTTTTCGGAATCTTCATCAAGATCTGAAACCGAGTCAGAAACCAAAGAGTCCAATACATTCGAAATATGTTTCAAAACCCTCTTTTTCTGATTATCCAGACATTTTCCCGAATTATTCATCTCGTATTTATCTATTTCAATTAGTAATTCCTTGATTTGATTGATATTATCAGAGATAAAAGGTGTTTTCAGATTGTCTTTTAGAGATGTTTGTATCGCTAGGTCATACAAAAATGATTCCACTTTCAAAACAGAATCAATCACAACCAAATATGTAATTACGGGCCCTCGAGAATAGGACAATTTGAATAATGTGACTTTTTGCTAATCGATAATTTTGAACCACTTTTCGGGCAACTGAAAAGACTCTAATACAACTAGAAATTCTTGAAATTCTGTGTAGGAAAATGATTTTTGGTAATTCTTGAATTCAGTTTTACTTTTGGTAAGTGCTTTTGCCAAATTTTTAGTCTCTAGTATCTCAAGTTTTTCATCACGACTTGTGCGTAATTTTACATCTTTCGATAAATAAGATGGACAGTTAGGAAATCAAGTAGGACTACCATCTCGTTCGAGCCTACGAATTTTCAAATCTATTGTTACAGTTTTGCCAGTTTTCGAATCGGTTGCAGTAGATGAGGTAATGATAGCATCTTTAGTAAAATGTAATTCACATACTCCACTGTACTTAGATGGAGTGAAATCCTCGCGGTGAATTGCGTATACCCACTTGTTCGATAGTTTCTTGTCCAACAGGATACTAAAAGCAAGAACTTTTGGACCACCCACATAATTCCCCCGACAAAAGGGAACACAACACTTGAAAGGCATTGTTATTTCGCCTATCACAACAGGCCTTGTTAGTATCAGAGGTAACGATTCAATCCCTTAACTGAGATACTTACGTTCTTATGATTGACCAACTTCATGAGTTTGAATTCTCGGTATGCCCTCTTGGCATGAGTGACATTCTGAAAGGGGCGGCTGAGTTTTTTGATAGCAACATTTTGCTGAGTCAAAGTATCTACGGCAGCGCTGAAATAGAGATTTTGAAACTATTGCATTGGCTATTTTGCTACAAGTAATCAGCCAAACTTTTTTCTGAATGCAAAGAATTGGTTCCCTTGTGAATAATGTTCATTTGGAGTTGTGACCAATTTTGATGTTGTCAAGTTGTAAAAACATTTTTTCTACAAGCGTGCGTGATTCACCCTATACCCGCACGCAATTTAGTTTGGGAAGTGTCATTTTCCCGCAACAGTGCGGGAAAACAAAGATATGATAAAATCGCTAGTAATATAAGTGGTTGGTGATGGAATATAAAAGTTTAGGTTTGTTTGTTGCAGTATTACGTATGTATGTTCAGAATCATCCATCAAATTGCACTATTTATTGTAAAAATTAAGAAATATTGAGAAATAAAAATTGATTATTATAAAAATCCCCCTATAGATTTGGATTGATCTGACGGGAAACGTCAATTTGTCATGCCAATCAAACCTCAAATAAGTTTGAAATTGTCGAAGTGACAGACACAGCGTTACTGTCATTTTCGATTCAGTGAAAATGCCACAATGTGATCAAAAACTTCTAGCTATAGGGATTTGATACAGATGCGTTATCACCAACGAAGTCTTAAGAAAGGTATGAGAAGCTATACACGCGTTTTATTGAATGGTGCAACAATAAAGAAATGAAAAAACCGAATGAAGAATAGGTATTTTTGGCTCATTTCATAGAAGTGTCTGGAACCTAGAGACCAAACTCCTAATGGGCCTGCTGGCTTCCGCAATGAACCAACATAATGCGTCAAACTGTAAGTTCACAATAGCTATTACTAATAATTAATAAATAGAGAATATATATCTCTTGTTAGTTGTTCCTATTTGCTTGAATAATTAATTAAACGATTCAATCAATTTCCTATACGCTTGTAGAAAAAATATTGTTCCTAACTCATGCGGAAAGTTTCTTTCCCGCACTCGACTGCTTGCCCGAACTCCGCTTCGCGTCGTTCGTGTCAACGGCAGTCACGTGCGGGAAAGAATCACTTTCCGCACTTGTTAGGAAAATTACTATATCGGACGATGGAAAACAGTGATTATTTAGATATCTTCTATAGAAGATAGTTAATCGCGGAATAGCCCACAATAGAATATATAATCAATTCAAACCCATTTCTCCATGACTAGGCATGTCAAACACTTCCTTTTTCATCAATCAGAGAATGAATGTTTAAAAAATTTGTTAATTTCATCTTTTCTGGTCCACCTGACGAGATCAGAATCTTGAAATGATCTTTAGTCAGGAAAGTAGTTGTTTTCTGTTATGTATTTAAAGAATAGTTATTGTACTTAGGAATCTCCAATATTTTTCTTTGACATATTATATAATTCAATATTTATAGTAGTATTAGCAAGGAGAGGAGTTGTTTTCTGTTAGATATTTCAACAAAGAACCTTCTCTCATCATTTAAATGGCAAATTTTTCTTCAGTGTCCTCTTTTGGGACTACCCACAAGAAGAAGTCTGCAGCTGTCAAGTCGGGTGATCTTGCAGGCCAATGTATAACCAAAAGAAGCAATTAATCGACCGGGAGACTATATTGGTTTTCCCCGACATATTGACAACTAATAATGAAAAATTAACAATAGATTCTACTTACCAAACGATCCCTTGAGCACCTGAACCAATCGGTTTCAAGTTCTGATATCGTTTCAAAATAGTGAATTTCGTATCGCCCACCTCGACGGTGTAAAATTGAGAGAGTCTAGACATCTTTGTTACTAGGTCTGAAACACTGAAGCCATCGTCTGAAATAAAAGAGAGCATCTAGATATTCTAGATTCAGAAGTTCATGCTTTTACATATTTCAGGTGATAGATAATTGAAGTTAGTTGGAAATACATATACCTACTTCACAAAATATACAAAAGATGTAATGAAGTTACCTTCCATCAAATCTTTATACAGGGTGTTTAAGATTTGAATGGGGCAAATTGGAAGGGCAATAATACTCACAAAAATAAAAAGAAAGAAATAATATAAAACTTTTACATACATACCATGAGGATTCCATTTCATTTCATTAGAATGGACGGCATATTCAGAGATACCTGGAAAAGTTTTAGATAATTTCAAATGATAAAAAATCATAAATATCTGGAACTTGAATGGTATACTGCTATATAATTCTCCTATAATGTTGATCAGACTGATTTTGATTCAGCAGCCTACTGCAAACCCATACAGCATAATATATCCAGCAAATATCACCACAATATTACAATGTTGCAGTTGCATTTTTTTGGTTCCCACGAAAAGGGATATCCTGTAATGTTCAGAGAACCAGGGGAAATAAGGTAGGAGTTGGTGTTCTTCTTAAATTTATGGAGGTTATATGCCTCGGGGAACACCTCCCTTGGCAATGTGTTCCAGAGCCTCGCTGTTCGTTGGATGAACGAGTCTTTGGAAAGAGATGTTCTGCAGGTCTCCAAAGACATGAAGGGGTGCGAAGCCTAAACTCGACGGGTTAATCTCGCGGGGACTGCCAAGGGAGGAACAATTGTTGATATTTCAGAAGAGCATCGTCCATGAAAATATCTATAGAGCCAGATCGCCAACTTTCCACGGTGTTCGAGAGAAGTGAGTGAGTTTGTGAGCGAGGCATCACCCACGAGACGAATTGCCCTTTTTTGGACAGAATTCAACAGTGTCAGGGTATGTTTGGGTGCTGCACTCCAAATATGGGAACAGTATTCCAGGACAGGTCGGATCTGTGCCTTATAGATCATAAGCAGCTGACTGGAAGTGAAATAGCTCCTGGCCCGAAACAGAAAAGCAAGTTTTTGGGATGCACTTTTAGCAATTGATCTCACGTGATTTTTCCAAGAAAGGTTATTTGCTGATAGTAATCCCAAGCATCGAAATGGATGTCTTCAAAGGTATGGTTACTCCTGACAAGCTTATGTTTTGAGATCTCCAAAAATATTGCAGAAATATCGTATTTGTACATTGCAATTCTAATATGTATTTATGATGTTGATCTAATTCCTCTAGAAGTGATAAACTAGCCTTATTACTCATGTCACAAGAAAATTTTTGCAAAATTCCTGTCATACGCCTTCAGATGCCCCAAACATTTTTGCACAAAAAATGTCTCGAAAAATGTGCTATACAACTGGTATAGAAGGGAAAAATTGGTGCCTTCACCAAAATTTGAAAGGATATTAATAGCAACCAATAATAGAGCCCTCTCTCAAGGGCCTAATTCTTGTTTTTTTTGTACATTCTTTCATTGAAAATATTTCCTAAGAACCGATCAAGTGGGGAATCTGAATATGAATAATTTATGATAAAAATATTATTTCTATGACTTTAGAATAAACATTTATTTTATTATGTATCTCTGATTAAAGTCCAGGTAGATATGATATCTACCTACCCACCATGTATTGGTGCCTTCACTAAAATTTGAAAGGATAAAAGCAACCAATAATAGAGCCCTCTCTCAAGGGCCTAATTCTTGTTTTTTTTTGGAAATTCATTCATTAGAAAAATTTCCTAAGAACCCATCAAGTGGGGAATCTGAATATAAATAATTTATGATACAAATATTATTTCTATGACTTTAGAATAAACATTCATTTTATTATGTATCTCAGATAAAAGTCCATCTAGATATGATATCCACCTACCCACCATGTATTGGTGCCTTCACCAAAATTTGAAAGAATATTGATTGATAGATTTATTGTCTTTATTACCCCAAGAAACATTATTGTTTATAATAGGGATATATACAACAAAACATACATATAACATAATAAATCGACACAATAATAATTGCACAATTATTGTTTTTCATAAAAAAATTATAATAAAATATAAAATGAAAATATTATAATCCATTACAAGTAATTAAATTGTGAATGATAAGTACTATTAGATTAGATATGGAATTAAAGTTTACTGAGCAGATATTTCTTTAATTTGATTTTAAATTTTAATGCTTCTTCTATATTTTTCAACTCATTAATAGCAACCAATAATAGCGCCCTCTCTCAAGGACCTAATTCTTGTTTTTTTCTTGTACAGGGTGGCCAACTAAGACTCCAGAGTTCGATTTCTCTGTTATCTTTAGAGATACAAAAAAAGTCATGTATCAAAATTGAAGTAATAACCGAGCTGCACATTTCAAAATTATTTTGGAATATACAGGGTGATCCATGAGGTAACAGCATATCAAATTTATGTTTGTTTCATATGAACACCCTATATATTATTTCATTCTTGGATTCTCCCTGAAGAGCTGATTTCAACGTCTCATCATACTTGGGGTCTAGCAGTAATATTTACTCAGATAAAGGGTGTGAAAAATCAAGATTTTCCAAAAAATCCTGAACTTGGAAAATCTCGATTTTGCACACCCTATATGTCAGTAACTTTCACTGCCAGACCCTAAGTATGATGGGTCGTTGAAATCAGATCTTCAGGGAGAATTCAAAAATGAAATGAAATGAAATATAGGGTGTTCCAATGAAAAAAACATAGCTTTGATGTGCTGTGACCTTACGGTTTTGAAATGTGAAGCTCGGTTATCACTTTGATATGAATGCAAAAATTTTTTTTGTATCTCTCAAGACAACAGAGGTATCGAACTCTGGAGTCTTAGTTGGCCACCCTGTACATTCATTCATTTAAAAAATTTCCTAAGAACCGATCAAGTGGGGAATATGAATATGAGTAATTTATGATACAAATATTATTTCTATGACTTTAGAATAAACATTCATTTTATTATGTATCTCAGATAAAAGTCCAGGTAGATAATAATTATGATATCCACCTACCCACCATGTATTGGTGCCTTCACCAAAATTTGAAAGGATATTGATTGATTTATTGTCTTTATTATCCCAAGAAACATTATTGTTTATAATAGGGATATATACAACAAAACATACATATTATTATAACATAATAAATCGAAACAATAATAATTGCACAATTATTGTTTTTCATAAAAAAATTATAATAAAATATAAAAGAAAATATTATAATCCATTACAAGTAATCAAATTGTGAATGATTAGTAGATATGGAATTAAAGTTTACTGAGCAGATATTTCTTCAATTTGATTTTAAATTTTTCTGCTTCTTCTATATTTTTCAAATTTCAACTCATTAATAGCAACCAATGATACCGCCCTCTCTCAAGGGCCTAATTCTTGTTTTTTTCTTGTACAGGGTGATTCATAATAAATGTCCCCAACTAGCTCAATTATTTTTAAACCGATTTAAAAATTTGAAAAATCATCTAAAATTATTTTTCAGAAATGTTTTTCCCGTTGCATCAGAGAATACAGAGTACTACTTGATTTTTTCAAATTATTTCATTGTATCTTCAGATTCTCCCTGAAGAGCTGATTTCATCAATATATCACACTTGGGGTCTAGCGGGAATGATTACAGAGATAAAGGGTGTTCAAAATCGAGATTATTCATCTTTGGTATTTTTTTGTGTCGAAACTATTCATTATTGGTCAAAACGGCTCCAATGTCCCTACCTCAAATTTTGATTTACTATCTACTGACATTTAATTGGAACATAGTATACGGTGTGGTTCAAGATTCAGAATTTTGATCACCCTGTATCTGTTCCAATTATTAAATGTCAGTAGATAGCAAATCAAAAGTTAAGATACGGACATAAATGAACACCCTATATCTCTGTAATCGTTTTCGCTAGACCCCAAGTGTGATGCATAGATGAAATCAGCTCTTCAGGGAGAATCTAAAATTACAATGAAAATTAGGGTGTTCCATTTGAGAAAATCAAATAGTACCCTATAGATTGTTTGTTCCTAGCACCTTGTATTTTATGATGTAGCGGAAAAAGACTCTATCGAAAGTCATTTCAGATGATATTTGAAATTTTGCAATCGGTTCAAAAATAACTGAGCTGGAGGGGAGGACATTTATGGAGAATCACCCTGTACATTCATTCATTGAAAAAATTTCCTAAGAACCGATCAAGTTGGGAATCTGATTATGAGTAATTTATGATACAAATATTATTTCTATGACTTTAGAATAGACATTTATTTTATTATGTATCTCAGATAAAAGTCCAGGTAGATAAGATATCCACCTATCCACTCACTAAGACCCAATGTTTAATTTATCATGCAGGGTAACCATTATAGACATACTCCATGGAAAATACATGAATTTGTTTTTTCCCTCAACCCAAGTCATTCATCTCACAGAAGAAAGTGATAAAATTATGGTTTGTCTTTTGGAACACACGAAAGGACATCCTTAACATACAGGGTGTTGCGAAATTCAACCGACAACGCTTGACAGGTTATAGCCCTCGTGATTCCATAATCAATGAGATAGGGACTAGGGATCGACCGATACCAATAATCGGCCGATACCGATATTTCAAATACCGATATATCGATATATCGGTCTATCGGCCGATAACAAGTTTTCTCTGAAGCTGGTAATATTTATTGAATGCTGACAAAAGTGCTTACATGCTAATAGGGAACGCGGGTTTGATAAATAGAGTAAATCATTTCAACTTCACAACGATACATATCCAAAACAAAGAAATCCCACACAAAAACATATGTCGGAATCTTGGTGTTATTTTTGATTCTCAACTCAATTTTGAAGAACACGTTAATAAAAAAATTCAAATCATGTTCATGAAACTGAAGTCATTGTATAAATTCAAATCCATCCTCAATGAAAAAATCAAGTATAAATTAGTTGAGACTCTCCTTTATCCACAAGTTGACTACTGTATGACAGTGTACTACAGCTTCCTGACAATTGAACTTAAAAATAAATTACAGTTGGCTCAGAATTCTTGTATGCGATTCGTATACAACGTAAGAAAGTTTGATCATGTTACTGCTATTTACAATGATAATAAACATCTTAAAATGGATTACAGATATCAAATGTTTTTTGCTGTATATATTTTTAGAATCTATACTGACAAAAAAACAGAATATTTGCATAATTATCTTATCCCAAGAAATGAAATTCATGATCGACAACTTCGAAATATGTGGAGATACGATATTCACCAACACAAAACATCAAAATTTGAAGATTGCTTTGCTCATCTATCAGTCAGTTTTATGAATAATATCGATAATTTTGATATGTTGCAAGGTAGGTCATTTGTTTCTTTCAAAACATTATTCAGGGATAGTTTACTAGCAAGACAATCCAATGAATCAAACCATCTGTGATAGTTTTAGAATGATATTAATGTGTATATATATTATTTGTTTTTGTTTTTTTTTTTTTTTTTCATTAATTTTAGATCGTTTTTATGTATTTGATATTAGATTTTTGTTTTTTGTAATTATCTTAACTTGAATGTACCTGGTAAAGGGGGCGTGGAAGAACGTGTTTATGCGAACGTACCCCTCTTGTAATAATTATATTATTACAATAAATATTTTTCTATTCTATTCTATTCTATTCTATTTATGATGCAAAACGTAGCAGGCTAACTCCTGATAGGGCAGAAAGCTTGTTGTTTTTGCATCACAACCTACGAAAACTAAATTATCAGTATTAATCAGTTATTTTTGTATTTTAGTAAGGTGAAATAATTTTACCCCACAGTTGCAATCCGCATAGGGTTTTATTTTATCAATTTTTAATTACTAGTCAAAGAATTTAGTTACATACTTTTTATTGGTAATAAAGATATATTTTTGATGGAAGTGTATTTTTTTCATTCATTTTTCAAATTGATTTTGTTACCCAATAAAAAAATATATCGGTTTTTGATATCGGCCGATGAGGCCGATATCACCGATAGGCCGATATAAATATCGGTATCGGTCGATCCCTAATAGGGACATAGGGTCTCCAAGTGTTCAGTTGTCGAGATACAGGGCGTTGAAGTTGAAAAATTAAAATAGTTTTTCCGCAATATCTCAAGAAAATTTGGATATAATGCATTCAAATTCGGTATATGGTTTCATCTTCCAATGGTTCATTTTTTGACCAGAAAGACATTCCGAGAATTTTATCCAGAGGTGCGCTACAGGGGGTTGTGAAAACTTTTCCTCTCATATTTTCTACGCCACTGATGAAATTTCGATTATTTCCAATTCCTCAAATTGATTGTTCACTTATGTTGAAAAAATGCATCACCTTAAACTGAGCTAAAATGAACAGTTCTCGAGATATTTAACCCAAAATAGAAGTTTGCATAGTAATTTTTCATCTTCCTCAGTAGTAGAAAATTACAAAAATGTTTTCTTTTTAACGTGCAATAACCATTTCTGTTCAGCTACAGAATGGGATCTGAATTGTATCTAGTCTACTCAACACCAGAAAAATATTTTTGCAATTTTCTACTACTGAAAATTATGAAATATTACTATGCAATCTTCTATTTTGGGTCGAATATCTCGAAAACTGTTCATTTCAGCTCAGTTGAAGGTTGAGCAAAATTGTTCAATTTTGCTCAAAAACCCTGTATAATTGATGAATGTGACATATAATATTGAGAGTAATATTGGGCCTTGAGGAAGTGCTCAAGTCGTTCAGTTTCTGAATAATGACTAGAATGAGAACATCGAGGAGAACATTGTTTGATTTATTTTTTCAATCATCCGTACATTGATTGGCCAAAAGATAGCAAAATGTATTGATATGAAGTGTTCAAAATAAGATTCTCTAGTCTATTCTCCTCTCTTGAAAAATTGAAAACCATAAGAGATAAATGAGAGTTCGGAACTTACTCCATTTCCATTGAAGTTTTACATTTTAGAATGTTCATGCCATACAGAGTGCTTGGCATTTCATGAGCAGGCATCAACTTCATTGACTGAATAAGTTCATCAATTTTCTTTGAAAATGGATTACAAGAAATAAAGGAAATTTCGGCACTCTGGGACACATACCAGTGTTGTATTGAACTTGAACATTTGTCTGTTAAGTTTCAACTGGAGATACCTAACCGAAAGTACTCATTACCTATAATAAAATGAAAATGTGCCATGTGTAGTGCATTCTTTGGTAAAACTGCATTTAGCATGGGATGGTTTTTTGTTTTTTTTCGAAAATTATTGAGTCAACTAGACATATGATTTTCTTGTGATTTATCCATATTTAGTGAAAAGAAGGAGAAATATCATTTAAAATAATGGCGTGTGTAATGTCATTCAAACACATTTCAAAAGCAATCTGTTGACATATGACATCTGGTATTTGGATTGACTATTAATTAAATGCCCGTCATCTGGTATGCTTGTTCACTAAATATGAAAAACTCGCCATAAAAATCATATTTCCTGTTGAATTTTCTGTATAAAAATGTGTCATTGAAGTACATCATGAGTATATTATAAAGTGTCCAATGACAAAATAAGAAGAGCAAGTAGGTACCTGTCAAATTCGTGTTTTTCAGACAAAAATACGTATCAAAAAAAATTCCGAAAAAAAAACCATCACATGCTGAATGCAGTTTTACCCATTCTTTTTAGCCAGTCATTTCCTGAGGAGATAAGACAAGTATGAAATGAAAAAAATATCAATCAACTGATACTAAAACAGTATTAAACAATGGATCATGTCTCATTATTACCCATGTTGATATTACTCTATAATATGATAATATGATATGACAACTACCAAAGTATTCTGACCACAAGGACATACTAAAAAAATGAATGAAATGGAAATTATGAATTTCATGAAACATTTCATTCATTCCATTTCATTAATACGTATGACGTCATTGTGGGGTGGGCATTAGGTTATTATTCAAATCTCTCTCAAATTACTTCAGTTTTTTCACATTATGAATTCTGATTAGCTACAAATAGATATGCAACTTATCTAATGAAGTTTGAAAAAATTTAGTCCACATTATTTGGCAACATCCATGTTTGAAAACCCTGCAACTACCCATCGACATTTTCCATATCTGCTTTAACCTATATACCTAGGTAGATGCTAAAATATCGATACTATATTTTGTAGTAGGAGCCGCCGGGATTTATCAACTAGGAACAAATAGATGAGCAATGAGCCATTACCCAGCGTTAACAGAGCATAAAAGATTGTTGTAAAAAAATACAAGCACAGATTATGAGGCAGTCCTCAAAAATGTCTTAATACTCATCAGAATGCATAATATAATCGATTGGGGATCACAGCTTGTTTACCCCATTATGAAAATGAAGGATGGATGGATTATCTAGAGTTATATATCTATTGTACAAGACGAATAACAATGTACTTACATTGAAAAGAAACATAAAACCAATGACTGATTCAACAAAAAACATTAAATAAACAATAAAAGTTCAACAACACCACTATACCAAGAGGACATTGCCAATGATCAGATTCGATTCAAGACCGAACTGTCACTTTGACAATTCAATTATTTTTTACCAAGTACATGGAATTTTGAAATTTTGTTTTGTCCCACGGAATGATATTTCCATGTGTTCTGCCTAGTTCTGCCCTATCTGTGATTTTATAATCATGGAATACAAATGTTTCAGACAATGACTGATAAATATCTAGACTGACTGACGGGTTATACCGTCAGACAGTCTGGTGCAGTCTGGTGTAGTAATACTATACCGGGTGCCCCAGTTTATGGAAACAATGAATGTTGAATTTTGAATTCTGACCCCGACCGAATAGGTAATTTTTCATAATTCTTGAAGCAAAACACAATATCACAATAACGCCTGCAGACCTGCAATAATGATTTCAAAATAAATTATGATCAAAAGTTTTTCCCATTTGATGCATGCCCACTTTCTGATAGAAAAGATACTGTAGATGGATAAGCTATGGTTATAGTTAATGCGCATGGAATACTCTATGATCATTTTTGTAATATTTTTGTACATTACTTTTCTGTTCTTCATTTGTCTGGAATACCGTCCATTTGGATTGTCGAAGTTAGAAAAATCAAATTTTTAGTAACCCTGTATAGTGCCAGTGCTTGTCCAAGAGCTGGCAGCGAATTTCGACCGTCATCTGATAACGAAATGGTATATATGTCCCAAGGCCTTGTAAATACATTTCATTTTATCGAACGGCACCTGTGCCAATCACTATCCTGAGCAAAATGATTGTAAAATGACACTTTCCTGTGCGTTTTTTGCTATTTATCTCACGATTTGAAAACGAGATAAGAATTATATGCTATCCGGTACTAATTGAATGTCAGATCTCAAGAATAAACTACCTGTGCTAGCCCTTAATTTGAGCCAAATCCACGGCACGTCGATTTATTTGCTGTCATTATTCCGAACATACTTCTGTCATGTGATAACGAGTTGAAACAAAAATGCAAAAAGCTAAGTTAGTGGCAGAGCGTCATTATTATTATCGAAAGATAATATCCGATGGACAAGTGTAGAACCCAATATGTAGATTCGAATGCTTGTATAGTGCTAGCACCACATGAGTTTCACACTGGTCCATCGGATATTATCTCTCGACAGGTATGAAATATTCTCGGAAATGCTGACGCTTATCACATGACGGAAGTATGTCCGGAATAACGGCAGCAAATAAATCGCTGTGCCGTGGATTAGGTTCAGATTATAAAGGGTGGCAAGGTATAGGTTTTCGAGACTATTCGGTTGGTATCGGGATGTCATAATCCTCACCTCGTTATCAAATCGTGAAATTTTTACATGCCTTTGGATCATATAACATTTCGTTATCAGATGACGGTCGAAATATGCAGCATGCAGCTGGCTCTCCTACTATTTCTGGATTCTTGCTTCTCTTCATTATTATTTCCGTTATATCAAGATTGGGACACCCTGTAAAACTCTTTTTCTGTCTGTAGTTGCGTTTTATTTATCCGATTCCGCCACCGGAATCAGTTTGATGTGTCGTTTTTTTTGCAACTTTTCCGATTCCGGTTGCTACTTTTCATTCCGTCTCACTACAGTCACTACAAGGAATGATGTGGAATGACTGTTGACAGGCGTCAAAAAATCAAATTATATTGACGAAAAACGAAACTTTCCGAAAGTAAAAGACATTTCAAAGATATTCTCATTGTTTCACTAGTTCATGATTCTTTCAAGTAAGATAGGTTTCATAATATGTTTATTCCCAGATAAAATGAATTCTTGATCTCAGAGAAGTTTCTCCAATCACCATGATCACTGCTCCAAATATTAGTTGATTAATTTTCTGGATTCTTACCTCTAGTATTATGATTTTGAAATTTTTTGGATTCCTCAAACACAATTATAACCTCTTACGTAAATTCTTTTATGCAAGGTCATGAAGTTTCTCGTTTTATTTGTAAACGTCATTCTGTTCCCACCACCGCTACCAGAACGGTACAAATAAAACGTTCTTTGTGTAACAACCATTTCAGTCAGTGTCAGTTGTCATTGTCAAAATACGATTGGTATTATTGGATTGTCAAGGGGAATCACAATTCACCCATCATTTTAAATTGTCACAGCATTGTCATAGTTTGGTTGGTTAAAAATGATTCACTTTATTATATAAAATACATGAAACGCATTTTATTATTACAATAACTAGTTTTTTTTATTATACTTTAATTTTACATCGAGATGGCAGATTCGGCTTTTTCAAGAAATGAAGTTATTGGATTGGTGCTAAGGTTATCTTTAGTTTCTGCAGTCACATTCCTGAGTATTAAATGGATAATGAATCAAGTCGATCCTACCAACAAAAGTAAGAAAAAGGCTAGAAAGAGAGCCGAAGAACAATTGAAAAGGTAATTCGTTTTTAGGAGCATAGAATGACCCCTTAATATATTGTTTTTAATAATCTCTAGATTAACAATGACTGGCAATGCCCCATTAGCAGTAGACAAATTGAACGACTATGAAATGATGATAGCTGCTCACTTAGTCAATCCTCTTGATATCAAAGTTCGTTGGGATAACATTGCAGGGCTGGAGAGCCTCATCCAAGAATTGAAAGAAACTGTAATTCTGCCTATACAGAGAAAAGAGTTGTTTGCAGATTCACAACTGACCACTGCACCAAAAGGTAACAGCTATCATACCTTCACTGTTTATCAGTACTAACTCTACAGTAATTTAATGTGCTTCTATTATTTTTTTGAGAAAAAGAGCAAACTATTTTGTTTATGGTATTGGAAGACCAATAAGAAAGCATATACTCTGCTGACCAGTCAGCACATTATACATTTTCTCTAGGTTGCTGACCATTCAGTGGAATACATTCTTTCTGTATAAAACCAGTCTGCAACCAAAAAAAAATCAAAAGTGTATAGGCTACCAACCAGTCAACAAACTATAATTTTTCTATTGACTGCCAACCATTCAGTGGCTACATTATTTCTGTATAAAATCAGTAAGCAACCCAAAAAAAAAAGTATAGTATGCAAACTGGTCAGCAGTCTATACTTTTTTTTGGGAAGCCTACCATTCAGCAGACTATACTTTTTCTCTGGACTGCTGACCATTCAGTGGAATACATTCTTTCTGACTAACAAAATGATCCAAGACAGTTAGTAGTTCAGTGGATAGACATTGGCTAGTCAATCCTGTGGTCCTGTGTTCAAATCCCAAATGGAATAGTTCTTTTTTTCAATCAATTTTTTTCATGTCAAATTTCTGTTTCACTAATCAGTTAGTGTGTTTAGGTGGAGTATACACCACTTTTTTATATTTTATGTTTTTCTTATATTGTTTTTGTTAGTTGACAAGATTTTTCTGATCAGGTTTTTGTTCCACCAATAGGTTAGTGTGTTTATGTAAGTATATCTTATTTTTCAGAAGTTTTTTTTTCAAATCATGTTTTTTCTTCCGTAAAATTGATAATTTTAGTCTACTGGTTGGCATACTAAACAGAGAGCCTAAAAAAAGTATAGATTGACAACTGGATGACAGTCTATACTCTTCCAGAAAAATATTTAGTCTGCTGATTGGTCGGCAGTCTATACTTTATTTTGGGATGCTGACCAGTCCACAGATGATACTTTTTCCCTAGACTGCTGACCATTCAGTCAAATACGTTTTTTCTATATAACAATTAGATCAAAGATGGTAGCACAGTGGTTAGACATTGCTTGCCAATCCTTTTTTTCCCAATCAATTTTTTTTTCATCAGATTTCTGTTTCACTAATTGGTTAGTCTGTTTGGGTTGAGAATAGGTCACTTTCTTCTTATATATTCAATTTCCTAATATAGTTTTTTCTTCCTCACAAGACTTTTGATCAGGTTTTTGTTCCATCAATAGTTTAGTGTGTTTGTCTAAGGGTATCTCATTTTTTTAGAAGTATTTTTTTCCAAATCATGTTTTTTCTTCCTTCAAATTGATAATTTCTTGAAAATAGTTTAATTTAGTAATGTTCTGCAGTCTACTGGTCGGCATCCTAAACAAAGATTATAGTCTGCTGACCGGTTGGCATCCCAAAAAATAAGTAACATGAAGATATTTTTGAAATGGGTGCTTTTCTGAATTACTCATTCACAATAATGGTTAGTCATTTTTACATTCCACACCAGTGAACAAACTTGAAAAATAAGTAAGTGCATGATTCATGAGCTAAGCAAAAAACATATCTCTAAAGTCTGAACTATTAAAAAATGTTGAACACCATTGAAAAATAATTATTCTTATATAATCCATTTTCTTAGGATAATTATCCTGAGGTTAGTTCAAGTACTTCTATTACATGTATGTGGACAATTGAATAGATGGGTAGCTTGATAATTCATATAATTATGTATAAAGTATACTGGAAATGAATTCGAGCTCCAGCAAAAAACCTATGCTGCATGTCGCCGGTCTGTTTAAAGCTGAAATCGACCGGCTGCACGCTGCACGTGACGGACATTCCTTGCCCCGTTCCTTGCTGTAGGCTCTCCAACTACCTTTGGAAAGACTATACCCATACACCTTCAATATAGATGAGTAGAGTGTTGGAATATAATCTTGTCCCATCAATGACTACTGGCATGCTTCAACTTCCTGTTTCATGAACTATTCTTTCTGAAGTGTTGCTTACTCTTAATATCATACCCTCTTATCATCTTATCAATTCATTATTATAAGATAAATGATATCTATGTAGCTCAAGAAGAATCTTTCTTGATATTGTTTGAAGTCATTGCATGTTGCCTCAAATTCAAGAACCAAATAGAACACCAAATTCAAACAAACCAAAAACTAATGAATTCTAAATTAGATATAGCAGTAGAAAAAATACACTCCACTGACATACACATGATGTTAGTCACGATAGTGCAAACACAAACAGCAGTCAGAAAAAATCTTCATCTCTGATTAAGTTCAGTTATAAAAAAATAGAAGTTGTTATTAGAGAAAATCACGAAGTGGGCGGCCTCTAGTGTCGAACTTTGAAACCTTTTCCAGGCTGGTTAACAAACCGATTTAGTATTGTCATAAGTTGTTTCAAGCAGATTTCAATTCTTTTTCCAAAGTTTTTGGACTCATTGTGTGCCTATAACCTGAGTGATTCATCACATGAAAACCCAAAAACTGCAACACTAGACTTGTGTGAAGTTGGCACTTAGTTTTTTGAAAAACTGAATTTTTATCGAAGTTCTGGGTAGATACGATAGAGTTCTGGAGTTCCTGACGAAAAATTTCAATAGTTCTGGTTAATTGTAGAAAATAACCGAAAATCAAAATTGTGGGTGCTAACTTCACGCGGCGCCGCTTTTTTCACAGAAACGAGTTCTGATGAGAAATTCAGACGTATTTGAAAGAGTTCTGGAGTTCCTGATATATTTCAACGATAGTTCCGGCGAAATAACGTCATTCCTATTTTTAATAGGGACATTCATACGCTCATGTAGAATCCACCACTTTCTAAAGTTCTGATCGGAGTTCTGGGTAGCACCAGTTGAGTTCCACATACTGTCTAGGTAACTTTTTTCTCTAACTTTAGTTTTCATGAGCGAAAACAAGGGACCGACTGAAAAAAAAGTTCCGTGAGAGATTTGGAAAGGAGAGACAATAGAGGAGATCTGATCGGAGTTCTGGGTAGCACCAGTCGAGTGCTACATACTACCTAGATAAGTTTCTTCTCTAAAATCGAAACGATTTTTGGAAGAAACGCGGAGCGGCGGAGGTAAACAAGCTTTTTCTAATTCTTGCATGTAATATGACCCTTCTCAAAACTTACGGAAGTTTTGAAACGCCCACCTTACGTTACCAGTTGCGTTAAGTAAAATATTTCATAACTGGTGACGTAATGTTCATTGTCATCCGAAATTCTGTTATCAAACGCGATATTCTGCCGTATGGAGGAAACTTCAAACAGACAAGCGAGATATTATACCCACGAGATTCTCAATACAACTCATTGAAATTATCAATTTGGGGGACATTTTTCTCGCCAGAATCCAATTGGTCCCTTTTATCCGCTTTATGCACAAGCAATATTGAATGTCAACTAATTATTCCACTGAAGAAATGAATAATTTAGTGAATCGATAAGAGTCGTTTTTTCATGAAAGAATGTTCGAAGAAGAATAGAACTACGAAATGAATTTGAATATTTCATTAGCGTATCTGGTATGGCTTAACAAATGTAGAGGTCTGAAGTGAAGTGTCCTATAAGCAAATAAGGAGCTCTTGCAAATACAGGTTCTGAGATTCTGAGACATCTGCGGTGGCGTGCATTGTTCCTGGAATATCCTAAAAAAAAACGAATTAGTATCATGATTTTCTGAATGCGCCATATAACTATAATATACAGATGTGGAAGAAATCATGGGTCCACCCTTCTAAGGCCACTGCTTCATTGAAACAACGACTGTTGCTTTCCTGTAGGGTATGAATAATTTGGAAAAGAACTGGTATAAAACCACTGTTTATACCTAACTCTTGAAGGCGACACCCTCCTTTGTAGAAAGGCATTACGAACGCCAAAGTTGATACACTCCCCTAGTAAGGGTACCTGACGTGATTTGATGCACTAACAATATTAAATGTCAACTAATTATTCGACTGAAGAAATGAATAATTTAGTGAATCGATAAAAGTCGTTTTTTCATGAAAGAATGCTCGAAGAAGAATGGAACTACGAAATGAATTTGAGGAGTGACAATTTTGAAGATAATGGCAACATCTCAAAAATCTCCATATTTCATTAGCCTATCTGGTATGGCTTTACAAATGTAGAGGTCTGTAGTGAAGTGTCCTACAAGCGAATAAAGAGTTCTTGCAAATACAGGTTCCGAGATTCTGAGATATCTGCGGTGGTTTGCATTGTTCCTGGAATATCCTAAAAAAAACATGAATTAGTATTATGGTGACAATTTTGATGATAATGGCAACTTATCTCAAAAATCTCCATATTTCATTAGCCTATCTGGTATGGCTTTAGAAATGTAAAGCTCTGTAGTGAAGTGTCCTACAAGCGAATAAGTAGTTCTTGCATATACAGGTTCTGAGATTCTGAGACATCTGCGGTGGTTTGCATTGTTCCTGGAAAATAATAAAAAAACATTAATTAGTATCATGATTTTCTGAATGCGTCATATAACTATAATATACATATGTGGAAGAAATCATGGGTCCACCCTTCTTAGGCCACTGCTTCATTAAAACAACGACTGTTGCTTTCCTGTAGGGTATGAATAATTTGGAAAAGAACTGGTATAAAACCACTGTTTATACCTAACTCTTGAAGGCGACACCCTCCTTTGTAGAGAGGCATTACGAACGCCAAAGTTGATACACTCCCCTCGTAAGGGTACCTGACGTGATTCCATACACTCACAATAATGAATGTCGACTAATTATTCGACTGAAGAAATGAATAATTTAGTGAATCGATAAAAGTCGTTTTTTCATGAAAGAATGCTCGAAGAAGAATGGAACTACGAAATGAATTCGAGGAATGACAATTTTGAAGATAACGGCAACTTATCTCAAAAATCTCCACATTTCATTAGCCTATCTGGTATGGCTTCACAAATGTAGAGGTCTGAAGTGAAGTGTCCTATAAGCGAATAGGGAGTTCTTGCAAATACAGGTTCTGAGATTC